GTTAATATTGATTGGCTTAGGATATAATATGGTAACGCACCCCATAAAGAGTTTAATAATTGTTGTCGTATCCGCATGTTTCCTTAATTTGCTGATAATATTCTTGTGATTACTTTTCCTTGAGTGACCATTCAATTGTAGTATGGAATCTTTTGACAATGGTAATATGATAATATTAATTTATGGATGAAACGTAAACAGAAAGGCAGAAAGACTTGCACTACTTATAATAAATATATAATCACTTGACTTCTCGTGGCCAAGTACCCATAGTTATAGTACTACATGATTAAGTAGATTTTGTTTCTGGGTTTTATCGACAATCTTATTTCTTGTACTGTCTATTGATTAATATGGAACTATGTTGATAATTATTATTGTTTTTTATGTAGGCTAAAGTTGTACGAATTAAGTGGAATTCACTATCCCCTACAAAGAAATCAATATACAAAGAGCGTCATCGAAAAACTAAAGCTGACTACATTGCAAACAATAGAGATGACAATGCCAAGGTAATGTAATGATATGAATTATAAAATTACTTATTGTTCTAGAAATTTGTAATACAATCTACTAAACTAGGTTATTAATCTTTCTTTGAAATATGTGGCATTGGTGATGGAATTTAAAGATATCACTTATTGCTATGTTTCCATAATATCTGATGTTAGAGATTAATCATAGTTGTGCTGCGTATTTCAGTTAACTATTCCAACCAGAACATCACTCCGAGGCGTACATGACATCATACAAAATCTAGTTCCGGAACAAAGAACCTTAATCACGGGAATTGGCATGGGACGCTTACTTGAAATTAGGTGCAAGAACATTCATAATGCTTTATGTGAATGGTTAATAAATAGATTTGATTATAAAAATTGTACACTGAATGTTCATGAAAAGGTCATTCCAATAACTACAAAAGATGTTGAGATAGTCTTAGGTCTAAGTTGTACTGGGCTTGACGTGAGTACAAATCGATGCATAGCAGATGATGTTAAAAAATTGTCAATTGACCTTGGTTTTCAAGAGTCTGGTTTAACGCTTAGCAATTTGAAGGCAAGGTTGCTGTCAAGTAATGGTAGCTGTGATGACAATTTTAAAAGATGTTTTATTTTGTACATGTTGGGAGCTATCCTATGTCCAACTACCGGACTAAGTGTTAAGCGCGGTTTTCTTCGAGTTGTGCAAGATGTTTCCAATCTTAGCAATATCAATTGGAGTAAAATGATTCTTCAAGAGTTGATCACATCTGTGAAGAAGAAGCGTGAAAAGAATCAGCTTGGGTTGCGTGGCTGTATTTATTTTCTTATGGTGAGCATTTTTTAATTTTTCTCATGTCTTGTAGTATTACTAAATGTTCTTAATGTTATTATGCATTTTTTCACTTGTGAAGCTCTTTTATTTGGATCGTGTCACTCCGCAAGGATTGGTATTTGAACCCTTTGCAAACAAGTCACGTCCTCGAGTTAAATTTTGGAGTGATGAAGAAGTAAAACTGAAGGTTTATTCACTTACTTCGTACTACGGAATTTATGGCCTAGATAAGGTACAAATTAAGTGTATATATACTTAAATTCTTGATTTACTTATGTTTGATTATGTAGTTTGCATGCTAAAATTAATTATAAATTGATGAATTTATAGTTCACCATATCCTTATATTTTTTTGTTTGTTCATTCTTGTTTTATGTTTTCATGCCTATATTAGCATTTTCTAGTAATGATAATTTCTTATATGAATATGTTGGTAGTGATAATTTGCTTTAATTTAACATGTATAGATTCAAGTTATGGTCGATGACAGCGACGCATCTATTCCCTCTCCAATGGCTTACATAGCAGATATTATGCCCATTTTGGATAAACATTATTCTAAAAAATTTGACAAGGTTGATGACAGATTGGAGAAGATTAACGACAAACTTGACAATCTTGCAACGGCGGTCTATGAGTTGTCTACTATGATTGCGATGCAAAATGATTTGCATGTGCAATCTGGTCAATTTAAGAAGGAGACATCATTGCATAATAAGGATGAGTTGTAAAATATAGAATATTGCAATGAAAGGCAGACTTGTGGTAGTCACTCTAGCATTAAAAATAAAGGCGGTCCTGTGGATGAAGAAATTGATCCGAAAATCCATCGCTCACCTGTTGCACGTAAAGAAGAATCACTTGACACACTATTTGGTCCTAATCATTATAAAGTGCCACCTTTAGGGTCCCCTCCAGATAAATATGGTGTGTTAAAAGACTTTCGAAAAGGAGTGATGCGCATGGTTAGGAAAAATCACAACACCCTTGTTGACTCGCAGATTGTGAAGAGCAATAAAAACGTCCGACTTGATGACTTGTTTGATCATTTGAGGGATTATTCTGATGGCGATAAAAAGGAACTAGTTGATATGGGAGACTCTTCCACTGCGTGTGAAGAACAGGAAGTAAGAGCATATTCAAGTTTTGCCTCTCTTATGGAACTATGTGATGATATAGGTATCAAACATAATGCCAATGATATGGAGAACACAGATTCAAGTCTTAGCAATAACACAACTAAGAAAAGGAAACTCAATAAACAGTCAGAGTTCAAAAATTATTTGCCGATTGAAGACAAGGTATGCAATATGGTTGTTTCATTTCAAATGATACATTTAACATATTACATCTTTATGATACATATTTGAAATAATTTTTACATTTCATATGGTTTATTAAACAGCTTGCAGGGCAAGAAAGAATGTTTGCCGAAAAGTATATATTGCAGCAGTTTTCCAATGATAAAGCGCGAATCCTGGACTACATATTTAATGAAAAATATAATCAGCAGTAATATATTTAAGCAACACAATATTGGATTTTTCATAACAACTATTTTAGCATTAGCATTGTTATTAATTGTAGACTCAATTAACAATTATTTGCAGCGAACCAATTGTGCATATTGGACAAGAGTTTGCCTCAAGAAGTGATCTGGCATGCTTGAAACCGAGAACCTGGCTTACTGAAAGTGTGAGTTTTCTAATGCTTAAAACCCTGATTTTTGAAGGTAGATATACCATCCAACATGTGATGATTGTACGGGGTAAAGGTGAATTGTAATATATTTGCAGCCAATCAATCTTGTTGCAAACATGCTTCGGATAGACTTTGAGGAGAACCATAAAGATCAAACATATAACACATGGTACATGCCAACTTTCTTTACGGTAGGTTGACATATCATTAACGGGTTATGTTTGTCATTAATTCATATTTTTTTGATAATTTTGTAAATTTTGGTAAAATTGTGCAGTGCAAATTACAAAATGCTGAATCTGACCTTACAACTATTTCAATATATTTTGATGCTGATAGATATGGAGGAGACATTGAGATGTGTGAGAAGGTTCATTAAATAATGTTTACAATTTATGCATATTTTTTGGGTTTTAAACTAATTTTTATTAAGTAATTACATGTTCTTGTAGATATTTGTCCCAATAAATGAAGAAAACCAACATTGGTATTGCACACTAGTTGACTTTGTTGAAAAGAAAGTGTACATACTGGATTCGTTGCCTAATTCAACAAAGCAACGAGGTGTTGTGGTTAGAAAGCTAGTAAGTATCATTTAAAGTTGTGTAGCAAATAATGATATGGACATTTTGTGTTACAATCGCGATTTTATTTTTGGATAATAGGTGCAAGATCTTGATACTGTACTACAGCACAAATTTGGGGATAAGTACAAGTTTCAGGCATCGTTATTTGAAGTTGATGAATCTGCTAACATTCCTAAACAGCCGAATGGGTAACTTTCATTAATTATGCTGTTGTGCAGTGCATTGGAATCTCTTCCCTCATTTATTGTGATGATTGATTTACATGCAGCTATGATTGTGGTGTATACGTTATTAATTTCATGAAGTCATCTGAAGTAGAACAAATGAGTTCACTCATGGTACAGTTTTGTAATTTAATATGAGTTTTTTGTGGTGAATAATTTTGAATGTCATTGGTACCGTTATCTTTACTTGCATGGTTAACTCACTAATTCTATTATGGTGTCATGATTTTTCAGTTTCAATCCGAGACTGAACGTTTTAACATTGCAATGGAATTGGTCCTACACCGTAAGAATGCATGGGGATTTCTTCTACAAGATCATTTACAGAGAAGATGAACAATAAAAATATTTGTAGTTGGGAAAAAATTCTAATTTATCTTGGCTATTTCTAGCTGAATACCAAGTATTTTATAAGGCAGAAGAACGTGCTTTATATTTGCTATTCTCCTAGCTCAATAAATGTGCTTTATATTTGAAGAGAGAAGCGGTATTCTCCTGAGTGCATATAACAAACACTAATTTGCTGCGAGACTTATGGGATATACCTGTGATAAAAGGAAAAGTGATCCATCCATTGTCATCCTTTTGGCGGGATTCACTACAAGAAATTTGGTCATCAGTGACAACTGATTATTATTACAGAAAATGTAAAAGTCGTCACTAACGTGTTTTACTGACAACATTTTAGTTGTCACAAAGTCGTCAGTGAATCTCTGTCGGTAAAGGTACACAGTCACAACATTAAATGTCGTCGGTAAATGTTATTCATTAGTGACAATATTTTTTGTCAATAATAAATACATATATAGTGACGACATTTCACCTTATCAATGATGCTCGTAGTAGTGTCGTCAGTAAAATCCTTTTCATAGTTGCCGTTGGTATTGATTGGTGACTCACAACTCTTTAGAGTCGTCACTAAAAATGGCTCTTTACTGACAACATTTATCATCACTATATACCTTTTTGTTATACACCCTATTTAGTGACAACTTTTTGTTGTTAGTGGAGAAATTTGATTAGTAACAATATATTGTCACTATGAAACCTGATACAAACGATTGTCCTAAAAGCAACCAATCCAACAATACATCAAAGTAGAACCATATAAGGCCTGCTAATTAATATCTAAAAGCATCCATTATACTAAAAAGGAATCCAACAATTCATCAAATCAACAGAACCATAAAAGGCCTGCTAATTAATAGCTAAAAGCATCCATTATGCTACAAAGGACCAAAATATAATGTTTAAGTTCAATGTCATCCTACAAATACTACAATAGAAGTGGTACTGTGTAACCCAAATTGTTCATGCAAAGTCAATCAAGTTTACAAAAAGCATCCGAGCCTCAAAAGTCATAAAAACTTCCAAAATACTTCACGAGCCAAAAAAGAAGCTTTATCTTCATCCTTCTTGAGTCCACTTAGTAGCTGTGAATTTGGCACAAAATCTGACATAGTAGCATTTGTCTGCATAAAGTAGTATAACAATAGTAAGTAACAAGCATTTTGAAAAGGAAAAAAATCTTAGATTTACTTATCACAAACTCAAATAATGAGTAGGAAATTATTAAGGAAAAGAATAAAGAAGGTGAAGAATTATTAAGGAAATTATTAGACAACCAAGTAGAAAAGCTTCCCAAGCATGTCAAAGCAGCTACACAAGAATCATATAATATCATGCCAGATCAACAACACGAGCATCACAGGGTAGGGAGGTCCAGAATTAACTGAATTTCTTACAAAAAGTAGAATTAATTGAATAAGTATTATGATCCTGAATCCCTGATGCCAAAACATAAATTAAACTAATGCAATAACAAAACTTTTAACAGCTAGACTTACAAAATATCCAAGAAAATCTTTTTGTTGAAGCTCCAAATAGGGTACATTCGATATTTGTTAGACACACAGGCACACTGAGAGAGGGAGGGGGCAACAGAGAGAGATAACAGAATATGCATGCAGCAAACCAAAATCCTTTACCCAGTCATAATTCTTTGAAAGGAATTCAGCTACAGTTTATTTGTGCCTTGTCAAGAGTTCCTGCAATGTGACGAACTTGTCAAACCTGATGCTTGATAAATCCCAGATGAAATTACAAATGATTGCTATCACTAGTCAAAGAGTGCACAGTTATCACAAGACAACAGCAGAATGGTGGATTGCCAATTGTGGAAAAAGAGTAAACAGCATAAAAATTAAGCAAATGCTATAGAAACTACTCTCCAATTGCAATCCCAGACATAAAACTTGGTCAACATTTCTTTTCCAACATAATTTTATAGAAAAGACTAGCAAAGCACATAGCTTGTAGCACCTTTCTACTTGAAGCATTAGTAGGTACATGAAGCTCAACCAGCAACATAAATATTTACAAATCACTTGAACAAATAAGAACAACAAACTATGGAAGGAAGGGAAACTAGCCTAAGCACAGCTTATATACATTTGCTTTACACATTTACAGGAAAAAGGACTTTCTGTAGTAAAACAGCTCTTGCACTTTTAGTCAGAAGCACCTTACCTTGAAAGTTGCAGCAGCATCAGCAGCAATATCGAAATTTGGAAGTTGAATATAATCAAAAAATTTCTTCATATGCTCCGATTCCAAGACATACCTGTGAATGATGGCAAGTTTTAGAATATGGAAGTTAAATAGGTAAAACAGCTCATAAAGAAGATTACTGTCAAATAATCAGAGCCAAAAACAGGAGGCAAACGTATGATGTTATTTCCCTTTCCAATACTTAAGCCCAAAAATCAAATAAGCAAAATTACAACCAAAACAAAGATTAACTTTCTGCACCGTGCAACAGTCTGATGGCGTATACATTCTCTAAGCATAGCACCATAGTGTAAAGCCATATCTGTATTCTCCAACTTATACCACCACCAACCTTGGCCGATTTGTTAGATAACTGTTCTAGTTCATCTACATGAGCTGTCATTTCTTCCATTTTCAGCATGATGCTAGAAGCTATCAAGTCAAAGATGCTATCATGTCAGTCAAAGAGGCTATCAAGTCAATGTTTGTGTTGATGTATGTTTTCTGAGATTTTTACTTAAATTCTTTGCAATACAAATGAAAATATTACAACTTTGGACTCCTACGCAATCTATACTCAAGTTGATCATACCCAAAGATTGGCCCCCAAAGATTAATTCTTAATTCTTAGTCATTCAAATCTTTTGATGCGAACTCCAATAGCTCCCAAATAAAACAGCCTAGTAACTCAGTTTTCATCGCTAAAGAATCAAATACTCATAGCTATCATTACTTTTTTATGCAAAAGTCGACATTTTTAGGTAAAGACCCCGGTTACTAGGTAACGAAAACCAGCAGACTATAGCTCAATGTAATAAACTAAACATAAAAGCACAAGCAATAATACAAAGGGTAAAAAATAAAAAAGTCGTTTATGGTTAAGCAAACATATAGAAAAGCCCCTTGTGATATCAAAACATACAATCCGACATCTCGTGATTTGAATTAAATTGAAAGATGATGAAAATCGTTAAAACTAACGTATTTGAGGCACATGCGCTTGCTTTGCAACTAATAGTACCTTAAAGCAATTTTTTATAATTAATTTTCATTTGATATACCTATTTTACCCCTTATAGAGAAGCCCCTAGTGGTTAACTTAACCTACAAAAAAGCCCTCTATAGCTTCGAAACATATACGTTGGATTTAATTCGAAACTTTCAAGAAATATATTGGAAAGAGAGTAAATATTCTTGATAGAAATCAACCGCGGGTCTTATGTACACTACTTTTGGGATATGGTAAAAGTTTTAAATTTGGGTTTTTACTATTATAATATTATCTTAGAGTCTTTTTTAAGAACTTAAAGTAAGAATTTTGAGAGTCTACTTTTTTTTTGTATAAAGTGAAGGAAAATTTGACAAAATAGTTACTTATATCTTTCTCAAACTTTCGAGTCAGCAAGCAAAACTAGACCCTACGATACTAGTATAAGATTTGTAAGTGTTCATGAAAAGCGAAAGTAAAAATTGTCAAGGTCGACAAAGCCATCAAAAGAGGATGATTGTGAATTTTTTTGTAATTATGGTGCTATCCCACATACAGATATTAATCAATCTAGAACAACTATTTTATGTATGACAGGGATAAATGTTATATATTTTGAAACCACAATGGACTTTTCTGTAATTTGGCTTAACCATAGGGGATTTTTCTGCATTTTATCCTTATATGTATCTGGATATTTTTGTCATTTTATCTATCCACATTAGTTTTGACAATTTCTATCACCTCTCCAATTTGGTTCAAACTATGACATGCTGAATTGTATGTTTCAAAACTACAATGAGCTTTTTCGTATATTCGCTTAACCACAGGTGGCTCTTTTGTTTTTTACCCTAATACAAAAGCATACTTCATATCTCAATAATAAGGGGAACTAAGATTGATAATTAGGCCAAATTCACAATAAAAATGCTAGAAAATTATTTACAATGCCTAGAAAAGTTAGCCAAAATTGAAAAGATCTCATAATACCAAATATTCACCAAAGAAATGCTGTATAGTAACACCATTTAACGCTTAACACATACACAAATACAAACCTAACAGTAATAAAACTTGAAATATAAGCCATTGCCTTTCAGGAAATCGACAAAAATTTTAAACATTTTAATCATAAATTTCACTTAACCTTTCTACCCCTCTCCTACACTTAAGATAACATTGTCCTCAATGTTAGGGATAAAATAAAGAATTAATAACATGAAAAGAACTGAAAGTGAAATTCTCCTGACAACAAATGGAGTGCCAAAGACCAAATGCAGTGAAATATGAAACATTTCACCAAACATCTTATATGCATTCACAAATTAATCACATTTAACTTAAACGTCTAGTCTCAAGTCCTTTCCTAGATGTTTCATATGGCTATTAAGCATATTTTACCCGTAGACAATCAAAACTACAACCATTTCCTAGATGTTTCAACGGACATTTTCAGCCCCAAAATTGCAATAAAATCTTCAAATTCTCAGCCTTGATTTCGCACGAAAATCTTGACAAAAAAACAAATGCAATATAAATAAATTACAGCAATGTAGTCAAACGATTTCAGCAATGTTTTCTGTGACCTGTATTGGGTTGTTTCACAGACATACTGGATTCTCTAAGTACTATAACTCACTATAACTCAGGATGCTTACAGAATTAATACAATAAGACATTATTTTCACTTTTGATGTTTATATTCGTATATTAAGCATGCTTACCATCCACAAGTAAGCAAAATCTGATTTGTTGTTTCCCAAGCACTTGAGTGATGGATGGATTTGTAGATGACTGTGCTTTGAAACAATGTTTCAAGTATCTGAAGGCTGGTCATTTTAAGTCACTGAACTACTTTTTTTTTTTATAAACTTGAATATTCACTAATAAATGCGGTAACTTATCAAGGTTTTTGTAACTTATTAGAGGCTTTTTGGTCTGCATTCTGTCCAATTCAAAATGTAAATCAACTTTGGAAAATTATAACCTTGCCTACCCTCTTTAATTTGCTAGGTCTTTGTTCACTCAGTAAAAACTGCACAAAGCTAGTTAAGTTTCCCGCTAATAAACATGCACAAATATTTCAAATACCTCTGTCATGCCCAATCTACACGTCATTCTCTTCTTACTAGATTGTCCATCCCAAATCTGGAATTTATGCTTTACTCATTAACTGTCATTAATTTTACTTTGAGATACATTTTCTGATAACTGTTTTCTCTTCGTTTTGTCTCATCTATGAGATGCCTTTTGTTTTCTTTGTTCAGGGAAAGAAACAAGAACTAAGACTAGAGTCCCTTGCAGCTCTGGAGAAGGCATTGAGGAATGTTTTGACTGTTTTAGGACTGATGCCAACTAGTTACTCAGAGGTACATACCATTAATCTTCTGTTGTTTTCTTCTTTTTATGGTTACTTTTTCAGATATTGAATGTGTTACTTCTATGTCAATTTAGCATTGACGTTGTGCATATCTCTACGCTATTGAAGATCTATTTACTAACTACTTTCAGTAAACATGGTTTCTTCTGGACTGCCTGTCTTTTCAAACTGCTTAGATGCTTACCTCATTTTTAACCTTTCCTGTTCCCAATAATTTCACAGTACCGTACAATATTGTGGGCAGAATACCAACTGACTGCATAGACAATGCCTACTATGGACAACTTCATATTACTCAACTGGGAAGAGTCTCCCACAAAATGGAAAAACTCTGGACTGTGAATTGGGATGGCAGCAGTCTGTTCTTAAAGCAAACAAAGAAACATGCATGAAGGAACCTTACCAACCATGTTGCAAAGGGAAAATGATCAAATAAATTCTCCGTCAAGAGAAACAGCAAATTTTGCATAGAGTTCAGCAATGTTAAAAAATGGCCAATGCTCAAAAGTTAAAAGCATGATTATGTGTATTCTGTTTTTCTAAGCAACAGTAGTCCATAAATTGACCAGAAATCCGAGAACGATGATAATGCAATTAAATAAACAAAATCTCATCTTATCAATCACGTCTTAAAAGAATAACTTATTTTGCAGGATGACAAAAAGGCTTCATAAATATGAAAGAATCTATAGTGATCTATCCATGACATACCAAGAACGATCCCTTGAGCACCTCTGTAGTATGAGCTTGTCAAGGTCCTGAACCTCTCTTGTCCAGCTGCAAAAGGTGTCATGAGCCCCATCAGATCACGGAGAACAAAATATGCAGTAATAGGACAGTGGAAATAAATAGCCAGAGGGGCGTACTATCATCAGAAAGTAGTAGCTTGGATTATTTATGAAAAAGGAGGCTAAGCTTATTTTAAGTCATGAATCAAGGATCCCAACAATAAATTTACATTAGCAGCACTAGGAAAAAGAGGAATACAAACCCAAATTGGGTCTGATCATGGTGAAGTAGGACTGATTGTCAGTTTCTAATCTTAAGGAGGAAGAAGTTGCATGATCAGCTGCGATGGCAAGACAAAACCTTCTGACAGATAAGAAGATTTACATATAATAACAACTTCTGGGGAAAATGTTAATTAGGATGGCACGGCATGTTGAGAACAGTAGAGAAAGTACAAACATTTGACTTGTACTAGGTAAAGCGCAAAATGTCCTGCTGTATTTTGTGAAATTACAGCTAGTTCTATGTCCAAAGAGATTTACCACTTGAGCCTATGATAGGAAAAAAAAACAACTAAAAGTAAAGGTGTATCATCATATTTGCACAAAAGAACTTCATAAAGAGAATTCGGAAAGCTGCCATAAACAGTTAGCAAAACTATAAATGATAGGATCTGCTTACCGGTATCCCAAATTGTAAGCTTCAACTTCTTCCCACCAACAGTGAGCGGCTTGATCTTAAAATCCACACCTGGAATGAGGCACAAAATCGTGGGTTAGCAGATGCAGATTAAGCTGGCTCACAAATTCAACTCTATATTGGAGGGAGAATCCTTGTTGTCTGATAGGATACATAAAAAAAAAGGGGCTGGTGTATCGACCAGTCATGTAATTGTAGCCAAACGAACTACAGATTCTAAGGATTTCACCAAGAGGAGGAAAGTTCAAACTAAAACAATCACTCTCTGGCATACAGTCTACATAGAAAAATCTATACTAACATGTGGTGAAAACTTGCTGCCGAGAAATCTCCATATTGATCCAATTAATGTGCGCCCCCTGGCTCTTAAAAACCGATTTGACAACCAAAATTTTGCTAATTAGACAGTGACTAATGATTTGCAATAAGTGCAATGGATGATTGGAGACGACAAATTAGTTCACTCAAAATCATAGAGCAGAACAGGAGACGCTACTTGTAACAGTAAAATTGAAATCTGGCATCAAAATCATTGTGCTTTAAAGGTGAGATCACTCAGTATAACGCTACACAATAATTATCATAAAAATGTTCAAGAATTAGCAGGATTTGGAGCCACAATATACACATGTTCAAGAAACCAAAAGGAACTTAATGAAAGGCTGCAAGAATGGGGAGCACAGGGTTTCAAAGTCTGTGGTTCAACTTGCGATAAGGCTTCAAGACCATAAAGAGAGGAACTAATAAAGAACGTCTCTTCCACCTTCGACGGCAAGCTGAACTTACTGGTAAGAGGATGTGGATTGACTACTTGGATCCTCTGAAAACTTTGCAGTGCAAAATTTGTTACTGTTTGTCTATATGGATACACATAACATGTTTATTTCTTTTATTTTATATCATTTTCCTAATTTATCGTGTTTCTGGTAAATACAAGTAACATCTGTTCTCTGGTATAATCTCATCATTTGACTCTCATCCAGGGACACTTTGTGCGTGAACTTCTGAATGGTACCTATCTAAGGCAGGACTAAAACCAAATTTAATCCAATTTTGGTTTTGTTTCTTTTGCTTTTTTTTTTTTCTCACTTGGGTTATTCAGCTCTTTACATGATGACAGATCATTCAGTGCCTAGAACGCTGCATTTGTGCTGACAACCTATTACTTTCCTGAAATTTGTGCTTTCTAGAGTCTCTGTAATTTGGTTGGAAGTGCCCATTTACTATTTTCAGAAAAGAACTTACTTTTAAACCTCTGTAAAGCTCTAAGCAAGATGCCTCTGTAGAGAATCTACCGACGGTTGAGTCAAAAGATTTTGCGATCATAGTCTAGCTAGATTTAAAAAAAAAAAATTGATCAGTACCATTTACTGATCCTAGAAATTACTGAGTTGTCACGAATTTTTTTTTGAACCCAAGAAATTAATTTTCTTTCTTAAGCAATTATAATCTACATGCAAGAGTTTGATGTTTATATACATCATATATATGTATATATATTCGAACAATTCATGGGCTGTCATGTTACATCAATTTAGTTACGTGCAAGTCCAAGAAACTTCATCACGACAAGTGTTAAAGGATGCTTATACATATATATATAGGTAAGGTCTTTTCATAGTTAGTTTTCTCTGCTTTCTTGCCATGTTTTCGTGCTAAAATCTGCAGTAAAATTACAAAAATGATCCTCAAAGCTGAATGGGGGTATGAAGGTTGTAGGTGACGCTTGGAAATTAACTAGAAACAATACATGCTGTCTAATTAAGGCCTTAAAACAAAAAAAAACTTGGACTTCTTGATTCTTTTGCAAACGGACATTTGATAGCTAGCCCAAATTTCTCTTTGACATTTCACCAAACATCTTATATGCATTCCCAAATTAATCACATTCCAGAATTAACTGCTTTTGCCATAAATGCCGACACCCTACTATGTTTCACATACAGGGTCTAAGTCATTTCCCATACATTTTTCAAGTTGACAATCAAATCAAATGAAAGATAAACAAATTAAAGCAATATAATGAAGTGATTTTCAAGCAACATGATAGTCTAACCTTTCGGCTGATATTTTTTATCCGCTCTCTTGCTTGATACCACCACCCAGCCTTAATAAAATTCTCAACCTTTTTGTTGGGTCTGCATATGCCCGATCGATCAAGAAGTAGAGATGGAAAGTGTGAACTGAAAAATTTTGCAAGGAAAAAATTTCTATTCCATCGTGTCCTGAGGTGCGAAACCGTCTGGAGAGGCAACCAACTTTGGTGGGGCAAAACCGTTTTAGAAATCGGTGGTGTTTTACTAAAATATGAAAATTTTTTACTTTTAGTATTAGTAAGTTTAATTTAAACTAAAGTAAATTTTGTCAAATAATAAGTAAATTAAATTACTCAAAGTGTAAATTTGTATTTCTGAGTAAAACTTATCTTTTAGACATATACTTACTATTTTTAATTAAAAACTTACTAAAGTTAATATTAATTATTTTAATATAATATTTAAAAAGTCGCTAAAAAATTCGATTTGTCACTAAAGGTAATAGAAACCTGTAATAGCAGGTTTTCCTAACATCGTTACCATAACTATAGTCACTATAGCACTTTGGAGTTTCTTGATCTGTGACAACATTTGAAAAGATTTGATCTAGTTATCACTATATAGTTTAATGAACACACAATTTAATAACTAAAATTATTTATCTACAAATCAGTAAAAACAATAAAGCTTGGCAACTAACAAGGAAAGGCAGTCACTGCATTAGAAAAAACCAATATAGCATATTAGGTACTTGAATATCATATTTAAGTTTTATATCACCCTACAAATATTTTGATAAGTAGTAGATGTTCCAAGTTCCATATCTAAGTACGCAGCTTTACGAAAGAAATCTGAGTCAAAAAACAAAAAAATATTGCCGAACCACTGCATCAACAAAAGACAGCTTTATCCAATTTCCTTCAGTCAAAGCTTTATCTCTAATGTTCTTTAGTCCTGTGATAACTACTGATCTCCTAAAAAGTTCGAATGAACTATCTGCAATAAAATAGTACAATAAGTAGGAGACAATCAAAACTTTAAAAGAACAAATAACTTTGGTTAGTTTACCTACCAGAAAACTAGAGTCTAAAATAAACCTTAGTAAAGACAAAAGCAAGTAGTGGCAGAAAACTCCGAACAACCATAATGCCAGAAAAATTCTCATTGGCTTCAGAAACTCACTAATAACAAAAGCCGGACACACATGCTCCAAGTAAAAGCATTTCCAAGATGAGAATGAATTATCAAGTAAGAGCAATCAAATGTCAAGACTAAACATTTATGTATGAGCAGCTGCAACCGTATCCATATGAGCAGCTGCAACCGTATCCAAGTATAGGTGGAGTAATGTAGATCACTAGACCAAACTATACATGAAAAATCAACTCATGTTCAGTGCAAGCTATGTCACACCAATGGTCAACGAGTAAGTGCAAAGATAGAATTAGCAAACCCAAGAAAATAAAAAATACATACATACAAACCAGGCTTACCTATGTTTTTACCCCTAATGTATATCAGAAGTGACGAAGTCAGGATTTAAAGGTGTGTATATAAATATAAATATACATATATATATATATACATATATATAAACTCTCATAATATAAACTAAAATTATAAAAAATTAGGAGGAGTCAACTTTGTTTTATACATATATTTACACACTATGAATTAAAATTTTCTAAACTTAGCGGGGTCATGGCTCCCCTCAACCTCCTTTGGCTCTGTCATTGTAGATCAGGTTACAACTTATAGCATCTGACAGAATAAAGGTCAACTGAACTCTCTTTTCGCTTCCCCAAAAACAAAAAAAAAAAGGAGAAACTTTTTTGGCTTTTTTGTTTTTCATCTTGAGAGGAAAATAGTACTTGTGGTGTTGTTTCAGTATGAACATTTAACTAAGCAGAATTAAGTTTGATTTTTAAGCAGCTTGCACCTGTCAGGACTGAAAAAGAATAAGAGGTCAATCATGGGACTGTGTGCTGGCATTCTAGCAGCTTCTTGCAAAAACAGTTGAAGTAAAAACAATTATCATTCTATTCATCAATCATGCAATAAATTAGAATTGAGTGACTAAGATTTCTATGGAACTATGTTAGTTGCTCTTCAAATGCAAGTCCTTTGAAGAATAAACATTTAGTTGAGTGGCTTCCTAATGAGTTTTTGTGTAGAAAGTCTATGTTATGATGACTTGTGTGATTACCCCATTGCCTACCACCTGAAAGCACAAGTTGTTAGAGATCATGGTCACCTTTATGTACAGGTAAACTAACACGCTCCACATTTTCTCAATTCTTAGATCCTGAGATGAATTAAACTCCAAAATGGTGACATTTGCTAAGTAGTTTAATTATATACTAGTTTAATGACTTGTTGAAGCCAAAATCAGTAACAAAAAGTGTTTAAGCCCAAGTTACTATAGTAAATTGTGTGTTATCTGGAATATTCCAAAAATTACCCGATGGGGACGTTGGATAAAGGCTTGAGGTTTCACAGTATTACCATGTCAAAGCTGCATCCTCATTTATCGCTATTCGCTATGGATCCAAATCAGTTCACTCAGTTCTCTTCATACTAACCAGGCAATCTAGGATTCCAGACTTAAGGTTGTCATCCTCTCTAATGAGTTGTGCTACCACATCACCTAAAATTAGCTGTTAAGAGGACTAACTCAGCTCCTCTCTCTTGCACCTGGTGCTTTGTAAAGCTTAACAAGAAATTTTAAGTCATAAGCATGTTCCTTTATGACAAAGTCTTGTGGTTCAGATGTCTGTGTGCAAATGTGCTGGACAATCATTGCACTTACTGATATAGCTCATTGTAACTATTTTTGGTGGCAAAGGAGCCAAAAAAGAGCTGTTATTTGATCTTCTTTTTCTGCCTTCTCTTACTTATGAAGTTATGACCGGCACAGAAATTAACTCCAAAAAGCAAATATGCTTACTGCTGGATGGATGTTAAGAGATGTTATCTGCCTTCATGCTCATGCAGCATTGCTATTGACTGACAATGGTTGATTGCATTTTCAGGTCCTGCTGTGATGGATTGTCAGGATATTCGGAGAAGGGTTTCAAGAGAAAACTTGAAGTACAAGCTCTGTTTGGGAAGGTTTTTTAATCTTTCTAAGGTAATTTTGATAGCTTTTTGCTGAAATGCTCCAATGTGCACCTTGCATAACTAGTTTTTTATTGTGTTATTCTGGAATCACGGTTTTTGCATAGTATACTTATTCACTAACTCGCAAACCATTTTGTAGTTCCTCCCACTCTCTCCCCCCCCCCCTCCTATGGTAACTTTCTACCAGATTTCTTCTTATGGTAAGAAGTGGGGTGTGGTGGTGGCAAGAGGTGAGGGGTGGTAGTGGAGGAAGAAAGGAGGGTGATATTTTATTTTTATTTATATATTTATTTATAGATAATAGGTAAGTTGTACTTGGGTTGTTTTTGGATTAATCTTACTGTAGACTTGTATTTGAAATTCAAGGTTTTCCCAAAACTGGGAATCCGTACAGAGCCTTAAGTATAAACAAATATATTGTAACATTTGGTTTATTCAGAAACCTGCTCTAGTTTCACAACGTAGGATGACAATTTGGTCTTCACATGAGTTTAACTCCATATACTTGGCGTGCTAGTGATTAAATTAAACTTCAGAGAAGTCCATGTCATTCTCGGTGGCTGTGAGTGAACTATGATGTACTAATTTTATGTACATCGGTCTTGCTCAAGGTCTATCCTAGTTACCAATGTCATCCTTCTTGTCTTGAAGTTCACATGGATCTCTTTTCTGTTTGGCATCTTGTTTGAAAAGTCCTCCAATCTAATACTTTAGTTTCATCGATGGTATCTAAGCTTGTCTAGAAGGAGAGAGATTTTCCTGTTGAATTGTAATCTTAATCTTGGATAGGACTTGTTCTAAACCCAGTTTTTGTATCGCCGATATGCATTTCGGTACATTTTAATGCATTATTTAACTTTTTGTACCTATCTACCAGCTGCCTGAGTTCAAGGGATAGCTCGATAACTGTCAAAGAAATATTTGGAGTTGCTGAGTAAGAATCTCCGGTGGAACCTCTTAGTCATTTTAATTTAAAACTTTCTACTCAATTGACAATTTCTTGCTTTTCAATTCTCTCAGTGAGGATGCAGAAAATATCAGGTTACACACAGTTTCAGAAGCTGGGGATCTGGATTCACTGGAGAAAATGATTGATTGGTCAGAATCTGAAAATTCTCCAGATGAATCATCCAATGCTTCGTGATTCTCACCAAATATGCAAAATTTTGGCAAAATTGTGGTGGGATATAATGCAAATGCAGTAGGATCAAGGAGTGCTCGGATACTATAATGTCTTGAGTACAGTCATAGTTGGACACGTTCGAGCTTACTATTTACCTAGTTTGACAGCTGCAATTAAGTTTTCTAGATTATTCTGTTTGATCACATATTTCTTTGCTATTTGAGCAATCTTGGTGAAATACTTTTATGGGCTATGTCTAATGAGAAGTATCCTGCTTTTGCCACAAAATTAAACCAACCAAAAAAGCCACTGATGAAAGTGCTCTAGGTCTTGGCCTTAAAAGACGTTGAAGTAGGCAGTTCATTGGTGGTCTAAATGTTCTTTTGGTATCCTGTTAGCTCTCGAGTCTAGTTTGTCTTCAGAGCTTCATGGCAACACTGAGATAGCATTATAATAAATTTTACCAATTTTAGTTTCTTCCAGATGAAAACATTAAAGTTAACTGTAGCTGAAAACATCTTTTCGTTTTCTAGGCTTTCAAAGCATTGATGTTTACCACTTTTAGTTTCTTCCAGGGCGAAAACGTTAAATGTAAAGTAGTTTTGATTTACTTGTGGAAAGCATCTTTTGTTTTTCTAGACTTCTAAAACATAAATGACCCTGCAAATCTCAATCCACTCTTTCAAGAATAAAAAGCATTCGAGGGCCTTCTTGCTCAGTTAAAACTAATAACGGGATCAATCTACAGATTGTTATTAACGTTTACAAAATGCCTCTAGTCATTCTAGTGAAAGAAAACTTCCTTGTGGTGTCTAAGGAATCTCTTGGTAATAATAGACTGGAAAAATACCCCATCGAAGTTAATAATTCAATATATGAGGTTCCATGGAATCGAATAAGTACATTCTGTCTTAAGACATATGTTTGGATTTTTTGGATTCTACAGACCAGAGAGGAGGGTGAATTTTGTATTCCTTCGATGGCTTTTCCTCTTTCTT